GAAAATATAGTTTTTTAAATATTGAATTAAATTATGTTGAATTTCATTCTTAATAGAAGTGTAGCACCGGCCTCCGCCCAAGGATAAGTTTTGAGAAAAGTAATAATTTACCTAAATTTCATAATATTAAGAGCTAATAAAATTATTATTTTTTATTTTTTTAAAATTACAAAATCAAATTTTATGAATTTGGGATAGATCACCGGTCTTATTTTTTTTTAATTTTTTATATATTTAAAAATTACATAAAAAATACTATAAGTTAAGATAATTGACAGATTAAAATATTTTTTGAAAAAAATATAAAAAATTCGATTGCTTATAAAAAAATTTGATTGATTCATAAAATCAATTTATATGTGTCACATAAAATGGGACAAAAGAAGTAACACGTACTCCCTCTGTCTAGCAATAGTTGTCCACAGAGGCGTATACATGAAGGGGTCACCGGGTTCACGTGAACCCATGCTCCCCTCCTGAAATCACATGTTGTAGTGTTATATTTTTAATTTTTTATTAAATATAGATGTGTGAACCCACACTCGAAGTATCATATAATGTGATGATGATTGTGTGCACCTCTCAGTGAGATTAGAAATTTAACTTTTATATCTATCTTGTCTTATTTTTCCTTCTAAAATTGGATAACTCCTCTTTAAGTGGTTATTGATAGCACTTTGGTGTTTAATTAATTAAACATTTCAATTTTGGACTTATAATTTTAAATTTTGACTATTTTCAATGATAAGAACCTAAATTCAAACCGATTAGATCAACATTTTCATAATAGTGCACCCATCATTCTGAAATTCTGAATACGCCTCTGGTTGTCCACTGTACTAAAAATAGTTGTCCAACAAGTAACAATACTTGTCTAGTTTAGAAAACAAGAGATAATTTACCTTCTGTGTCTATTTTACTTTTGATATTAAAATAGTTGTCCACTATACTATTTATCATCTAACAACTATTGTTGGATAAATGGAATGTTATTTAATTTGAAAATTACGTAAAAAGTATTGTAAATTTCAATAGTTAACAATATTTAATTGACTCTTGAAATTTTATATGTGCTACATATATTGGAACAAGGAAAGTAACATATATCATTTATAAATTACGTAAAAGAATACTACAAATTACAACAATTAAAAATTTAAAAATCGTATTACATTTAATTAACTCACTAAATTTTATTTCTATCACATAAAATTAAACAAAAAAAGTACTCCATCCGTCTCATTTTATGTGAGGTAGTTTGACTCGACACGGAATTTAAGAAAGAAAAAAAGACTTTTAAAACTTATGGTCCAAAATGAATGATAAAAATTTGTGTGACTGTAAATGATTTCATTAAGGATAAAATAGACATTTTATAGTGAAATTATTACTTAATATAGAAATGTATTATTCTTTTTGAGACTAACTAAAAAGGAAAGTAAATTACATATATTGAGGGAAAAAAATAATAAATATTGAACCCATACTAATACGGACCCTTGTGTGTATATATCTAAGATGCAAAATTGACATATCTCCATGCAGTGTTAAAAAGGTTAAAGTGGAATGGGTTTTGACTTTCACTTAAAAGCAAAAAGAGTAAATGTAAAAGGAAATCCACGTGGGGTGCAGGGTGCAGTACATTCTTAATTACTTACATATTTTTTTTAGTTTTAGTTAATAGTAGGACCTATTAAGTGCAGTTTTTTTTTTTTTTTTTTAACCAGGAAGCTCCCATCTCTTTTGCTTTCTTGGTGACTCGAACTTGCAATGTTCGGATTGGGAGTGAGGGGTGCTTGCCATCCGAGCAACTCCCTCTCGTCTATTAAGTGCAGGCTACAATACCTCTCTAGTGCAATTTTTTTTATTCGGTGATTTGATGTTTATATTAATGTCCGTTTAAATTTAAATTTAAGTCTAAAAATTTCACATTGAGAAAGTAAAGTGTTTTCTAATAAAGAATAAAAAAATATTTACAAATTCCCCACATCCTTATAAACTTTGAATGCATTTTTTGGTGTGGATTAAGGAATTTGAAGTTGCTACTTCTAAAATGCTCACAAGATAAATTTGTTTCACTATAATAACACGTAAATTAAATTTTAAAAAAATTTAGTTGTACTATACAAATTTCATGCGATAATTCAAAAAAAAAAAATATATAGGTGATTTTGTATTTGAAACCCTTATTTAGAAGATTATTTGAATTCAGCCGTCTTAGCATCGTTCGATGTACATTTTGATTTATCAATTCTTTTAAATAAATGAATTTTCATTATTGTATTACACAAATTTTGTACAACAAGCTCGAACAAACAAACATGGCTGAGAATTTATAATTTAATACTTTTTATTAGGAAATCAGTTGTTCATCCAACTTAGCCGTCCTCGTAGGTCTGATGTACATTTTGCATTTTGCTTTTCTATTTCTTGTAAGTTTGTGAATTCTCATTATTGCCCCTACCCCACTTTCCCCATCAAAAGTGTAAAGCCCCACGAAAGTTCTATCTTTTCCTTTTGTTTTGTTTCATCATGTTTATCAGATGATAGCTCGAATTCACAATCTTCAAATTGAAATTGAGGAGAGCTTACTATTTGAAGAAATCCCTCTTGTCCTTGCTTGCTTACTTCGAGAAGAGATGTTTTGGATAAATCCGATAAAGAATATTTTTATTATTTTTATCTTTAATAAATATGGAGTATTAAAATTATAAATTTAACAAATATTATTTTATATAATTATTTAATTATAAAGATAATACTAATTTTATTTTAATTTGTTAAAAGGGACAAAGACCAAACAAAATGTACGAGATAGAAAGAGTATATAAAGGTATCCTTTTTATGAAACAAATTAAAGAGAAAAATGGAACACAAGACGACATACGTACAGGATGGAGAAATAACATGTTTACCATTATAAACTCAACCAATCAGATTCCTTCACTCCGATGACTCAATAAAAGCAGCAAATGACTGGCCTGAATTGTGGAGACTGTTCTATTCTTAATTAGAAATTTAGACATAAAGAAAATTTTGTTGAAAGTGTTACCTTCGAAAAAGACTTAATATGAAAATCAGACACCAAAGAATGAAAAAAAATAGTAAAGGCAAGTGTGAACACAGCACGGCTACCGCGAAATCACTTGGAAACTTTGCTAGTTTACCTTTCATAAAAGTGGCGGGTTATTAGAAAGTTTTGGGCCCCTGAAGAAAGCCCAGTAGTAAAAATAGGGGCCCAAGGAAGGATTAATGGAGTGTGTGCCTTTTTACCTCTTGTCAGAGTCTGACCAACTTTTGGCTCGACTTTCCAGGCTATGCTAGTTGTACAGTACTATTACACAATCCTCTTTTACTACTCTCACTAATAAGCGCGTAAATATCACATCAACCATAATAAAATTTATTTTATTTTCATATTGTACCTTAAAATTGACCTTGATTCATTTTAATATTTAATTAATTTAAATTATGTCACATAAAATATTCTTTATTAAAAATGATTTAATTGTATGTTTAGCTGGAATGAGAACAAATTGGGAATATCTTTACTAGGGGTGTGCACTATTCGGATTAAACCGAATAGCCAAACCAAATCAAACCAAATTTTTATTTGGATTGGTTTTTTGGTTTTTCGGATTGATTTTGGATTAATAAATTACTTTGTTTGGTTTTTTGGTTTGGTTTTGGATTTTAAAAATAAAAATCGAAAAACCGAAAAAAACCGAATTATATATATATATATATATATATATATATATATATATATATATATATATATATATATATATAATGTTTAGGCTTAGAATTAAATTGGAGTTAACCACTTTTGTCTCTTTTTGGTTATTGTCTTTCATGATGATTACGTGTATATTTTATGTTTGAATTACATTTATAATATGTATATTTATAAGTATTGTGTTTTAAGTTTTACTTATGATTTATATTAGAAAGTATATTTAAGGGATTAAATATTATTACTTTGGTTATATATGTTATTAATTATTGACATAACCGAATAACCAAACCGAAAAAAGTCGAACCAAATAGAGGAAAATCAAACCAAACCAATTTATTTTGGATCGAATTGGGTTACACTTTTACAAAACTAAAAACCAAAAATCCAAATCAAATAGTGTAAAACCAAACCAAAAAACCAAATGCACACCCCTAATCTTTACTAAGTTTGCTATAGACTAGGGAAGGGGGAATATAACTTGTGGTTGTCCATTTACTTCTCTTGGACTTGTTGACCACCCTAATTCTAAGGGGAGAGGTTAGCTGATAGTTGGTAGTTACCTAGCTTTTATTAATAGTGTCAATGATATATTATTTATATTAAAATAGATGAAAATTGTATAGAGTCCAAATTCACTCAAAGAAATAAAATAATACTCCTTCCGTTCCATTTTATGTGGCAATATTTGATCGAACACGGAGTTTAAGAAATAAATGAAGACTTTGAAATGTTTATCAAATTACCCTTTAAAAAGTAGATTCACTTTTCTCTCTCCTCATAAATGTATTGGAGTATTATTTTAAGATTAAGTGGGACCAACAAGGGTAAAAGAAGAATTATACCTTTAAATACTTACCATATTAAGAAATGTGAAATTCTTTTTTAGACTGATCAAAAAGGAAATGGTGTCACATAAAATGGAACGGAGGAAGTAAATGATTTTTTATATAGATGATAGAGTTATTAATTACCTATTGTATGCATGACAATAATATATATTAAAATGAAATAATTAAGGTATAGATAGGTTTATTCCAATCATATTTATTTAGAGTTTATTTGAACTGACAATTCTATCGTATTACTCTATTTATTAAATGTAAATATTGGGGAGGGTGATGAGCACGCACTTAATGTTGAGTCCGCAGTTGACGCCGCAAGCTTTACATTATTTTCCTATTTTACATTTTTGCTGTACAATTCTTTTTCATGTTACTCATCACTTTCCTCTTCTCCTCTATACCCTAAACAACACACATTTTCTCTTTCTCTTTCATTTTTCCCTCTCTCTGTGCTAAAAAAGCCGCCATGAAAGTACCTGAAAACGATCCGACTAACCCCATTCACTCCAATTCCCTACTCCTTCAATCTCTTCTTGATTCTATTCCCCACACCCAAAGCTTCAAAGGCAAATGGTCTTTAATCAGAGCCAAACTATCTATACTCCAGTCTCACCTTTCTGACCTTTCCACTGCCCCCATTAACGCTTTCCACAATCCCCTTTACAATGACCTACTTCTTGCGCTTTCTGTTACTCTGAAGGACGCTTTTTCCCTCTCTTCCATTTGCCACAGTGCGAACCCGCCTGAAGGTAAACTCAAAACCCAGAATGATATCGATTCGGTTTCTGCAAAAATTGATAACCATGTAAGGGATTTGGAGGTTCTTGTTAAGAATGGGGTTCTTCAAGAAAACGGTGCTGTTTCGACGAATATTACATCGAAGAGGGAGACTATACGGGCGGAATCGAGGAATCTGATAACTCGGCTTCAGATCGGGACGACTGAGTCGAAGAACTCGGTGTTGGATTCGTTGCTTGGGTTGTTACAGGAAGATGACAAGAATGTATTGATTGCAGTAGCTCAAGGGGTTGTTCCGGTGCTTGTGCGGTTACTCGATTCCAGCTCTTCGCCGGAGATCAAGGAGAAAACAGTCATCGCCATTGCTAAAATCTCAACTGTTGATTCAAGCAAGCATGTTTTGATCGCCGAAGGTTTGTGTATTCTCAACAATCTTTTAAGGGTTCTTGAATCTGGGAGTGTTTTGGGGAAGGAAAATTCATGTATAGCTTTGCAAGCATTGGGTCATACAAAGGAGAATGCAAGAGCAATTGGGTCAAGAGGAGGAATTTCATCATTGTTAGAAATTTGCCAAACGGGAACACCCAATTCTCAAGCTATGGCAGCTGCAGTGCTAAAAAATTTAGCTGTTTTCGAAGAAATTAAAGAGAATTTCCTTGAAGAAGACGCAATTATGATCCTTTTAAGGTTATCCAATTCGGGGACAGCATTAGCCCAAGAAAATGCAATTTCTTGCTTGTCTAATTTGATTTCTGGAGATACCAATATGAAACTCTTGGTTGCCAGGGAAGGTGGAATCGAAACCATCAAGAATTTCTGGGATTCTGCTCCTTCAGTGCAGAGTCTAGAAGCCCTTGTTCTTATGCTAAGAACGTTAGCTTCTTGCCCATCAATAGCTGATGTAATTGTGGACAATGAATTTTTACCTCGAATTGTCGGTGTTCTGAATTGTGGGGTTTTAGGTGTTAGGATTGCTGCAGCAAATGCAATTTATGATTTGGGATACAACACAAGAACCCGAAAAGAATTAGGCGAAATCGGGTGCATTCCACCACTGGTGAGACTCACAGAAGGTAAATCCGTGGAAGAGAAAGAAGCAGCTGCAAGTGCATTGTCAAGTTTGATGATTTACGCCGGAAATAGAAAGATTTTCAGGAAGGAAGAAAGGGGTATTGTGAATGCAGTTCAACTTTTAGATCCTGTGGTACAAAACTTAGACAAAAGACACCCTGTTTCGTTATTGACTTCGCTTGTTTACTCCAAGAATTGCCGGAAACAAATGGTGGCTTCAGGGGCTTGTGTGCATTTACAGAAGCTAGCTGAGATGGAGATTGAAGGAGCTAAAAAGCTCTTGGATTGTCTTGGTAGAGGCAAACTATGGGGAGTTTTCACCAGACATTGAGCAGCAACAACAACAGTAAAACAACACAAGGAAAATGCAATCAATCAATCTGTATGTATAAATAAAGATCAAGTTTTTATTTTTCTAAATTAAATCTTACGATTACGAATGTAATTTTCCAAAGTTTTTTGTCTTTTTCTTGATCATGTTCATAGATTGTGGTTATAAGTTAGTGGTAGAAGAAAAAAAAGTAAATGTTGGTGAGTAGGCTAGATATTTGCTAAGTACTAGATAGAAGAGAAGTTTTATGTAATATCTTTGGGTTGTTGACCTAACTTGATAGGTTTTTCCTTCTTGTTTTTCTACCAAATAAATTAAGTGAAGAAGTCTTCTCTTTGAGTTCTTGATCGTTGTGACATTTATTGAGAATTTGTTCCCTTTATGAGAAGATGTTGGTGCCATAAATTTCATTAGATTGGTGTCAGAATTGACCATCATAGATACTTGATTCAATCATGGACAATATGAATAAGGTTTATGGCAATGGAATTTATCAACAATTCATGAACCTTCAAATAATTGAATTTGTGTATAAGTTGATAGTGGGAGATAACATGTATCCCATCAAATTAGTCGAGCTACGATAAAGCTGGTCTGCAACCAATGGTTATATGAAAAGAAGTTCAACTATCCATCATCAGTATTAGTGGAACTGCAAAGATGTGTTTGCTAGTTGATGTTGTCTCATGTAACTTTCATATCTTCTTTCAATTTTAATGGAAGGAAGTATCTTTCATCGATAGTTGAGGGACCAAGCCAACGCTGTCACTCACAAATAACAATCAATATTTTTTGCTGGAATATTCAACAGAGGGTAGCTTAACCTAATCGCATTTTTTAATCAAATTAGGAATATGGAATACCAAATCACAATTGATTCCAGCCACAGAAGAAGTCTCATGAGCTTGGAAATCACCCATAGTTTTTGGTCTAATGATTAGAGCACAACGCATGATACATGAGAACTAATATCCCAAATCGTGTGATTAGTTTGTTTGATTAAATTCTAGACTAAGGTATTCTTAAGCTGAGCAACAGAGATGGTAAAGAGGAACCAAAACCACACAAATCATGACATACCGGTATATATGACTTTGTGCTATATTCAACCTAGTTATTTTGTTAGATTACTCACAAATCGTGCAGGGTCATCATGATATGTATAAACAAAAAAAGAGGGAAAGAAAATATATATTGTGATGCAAGTAATAACAGATGTATACCTGATTGTCAAACAATTGTTTTCAAGTGTGGAGTAGTAGGTAATTTTTTATAATTGGGATGAAGACAGTTATTTATAAACTAGAGTATGATATTTGTGTGATAATTACAAGTATTTAAAAAATGAAAGTCAGCGGTTATATCAAAAGAATGATGCAATTATGAAAATGAGATTGGTTTGCTATGGTTAGAGTGTCAGTGTGTAAGTAGTTATGGAGTGTGGGCCTCTTCAGTCTGAACATCAATACCCTGCCATTTCTATGCACAAATTCAGTATTCTAAGCACAAATCCCACACCATTTCATTACTATTCTTTATACGACTTTATATTAACAAAGGAAAATTTCATTCATTTGGCCCAACAATGTACTGTATTCCCCCCCTCCCCCCTCTAACTTTAGCTTCTTAATTAGTGTATAAAGACTCCACAATTTATGCAAAGCTTTGAATTAAAAGTTCAAAGGAACTTAATCAAACAAATTAACGGCACTACAATACAAAAAAAAGGATATTTAATATTTAAGTCACTAAAGTGATGATATCACAAAAAAACAACCACTTAAATTGGAATATATCAATCAACAGTTAAGTATTAGCTCTACTTTTGTTTTACTTATTCCTTAGTATTGGTTTTATTTTTATTTTTTTAAAAAATTGAGTGTTTCTTTAAGTATTAAATTAGAAATAAATTATTTTAGCCCACAAACTGACCCGGTCCAACGAGCTAACTTGGGTCGAGCCTATTAGCCTCAATTTCAAATGTCTCAAAAAATTGTAATCCAACTCAAGTAGCGAGCTGAGTTGAGCTAGCACCATAGTTCTAATCCATTTTGACGGATCAAAATTCCAGTAGTAATGATAAATGTAGAAAAAAATTAAAGTTTCTTCTCATATGATTATTTCTCTCTAGTAATATCAAGCAGGGACAAAGCTGTTCAGATTAAGTCAATTTGTAATTTTGCTATGTTTTGAGATAATACTATATAGCTAAGTAGCAGCTGGTAGTAGGCCATAATTGTAAGATTGGAAGCATGTGCTTTTGTCTTATACATTATCTAAAAACTCATTTTCCTGCTGGTAGTTACCCAAACATGCGATGGATATCTTTATAAATTTCTTTCCTTTTCTAATTTCATAGACTTATTTTATCAACCAAACATATGCCACTAAGTGTTTGCTGCTTGCAATGGCTAAGAATGGATAGAAAGATCAAGCTGTCTAATCTTAAGTAGCTGCCAGAATACCTACCTATGTTTTATTCAAGTTGGCAATTGTGACTTGACTCCATTTTTAGTAGGCGTAATGACATGAATTGATTGACATTTAAGAGAAAGTAACATGAAAGTTGAAATCGATAAAGAGAATATTGAGTCTGATTCAATCTCAAAATCAACTCATGAGGTGAGAATTGCTTGAGATCGTATAAAGAGAAATCTACTATCCATAAAAAGTTGAGGGTAGGCTCTCACATCGACTGTACGTTCATGATTGAATATCTAGAGCGTGAACAATGAATTGGGATTTGGTTAACTCTGATACCACAATAAAGAAAAGGACCATTGTATCTCAACCACAAAAATTAGCTCGGGAAGATTGCAAGACCATATAATGAAACTAATTTGAGACTCTGATAGAAATTGTATTTGAGCATGAGAACACATTTGATTTTTTATGTGTGAGAACTTGAGAAAACCAAAACATGTTTCTTTTCAACTCCAAAATTCTATTTCAAGTTTGAAGTTAAAATTATAGACCAATTTGATAAACAAATACTCAATTAAAAATATTAAATTAGGTGACGTAATATTTTATGTTGACATTATTGCCCTCATTATTCAAACCTATTGATGAGTTGTAGGGATTAATTTCAAGCATCTGCTAGTGGGGAAATCAGCTAGCTAGTTACGTGTTTGCTTTAATAGTTGAGCTACAAAAACGAATACGTCTCTATAACATTTATAAATTATAGAGATATTGTGAATATTGGGAAACAAAATAATCTCTGTCATAGGACAGAACAAGCACCTTCGAGATCCACCATATAATAAAAATTCTTTAGATAATAATAATGAAAGAAAAGAACTTGAAGGTTGGGTGGAAATTATTGTGGGTTCATATATCATTTTTATTTTTATTTTATAACTATGGTGTCTGGATCAGTTTGCGCAATTAATTCACAGTATACAATTTTGTTCAATAAAATTAGAATAGATAAAAAGAAATCACCTATAATATATTTGTCTCTATAGGGATTTAAAACTAAAATTTCATAGTTCTCGACTCACTTTATTAATCAATGTAGTCGAGACATTCATGTCCATAGGTTTAATTAAACAAAACAAATGTGGGCATTTAACTATTTCCATGCATGTGTGGTTCTATGAAGGGACATTTATGTTTGGTAATACTTCTCTTATTGCATCAAATTCGATGGGGCCTACGTCCCTCACTCAATCAATACTTTGTTTCCCTTCCACCCAACTCAACTCCAACATATTCCAATACCATGGTCATAATTACACGTCCGTCTAATAATAGTTGTTCGCTATATTATTTTGGGATGTCTAACAGAATTTATTCATTTTATAAAATTAATGAAATAATTTTCTACTTAGTTCCTAAGTTACCCTTATCATTAGTTATAGTCATTTTGCTATTACATTTTTCAAGACATTATATTGATTATATTTAAAGAGTGATATGGTAAAATCACTCTTCTATTTAAAGTTTCTTAATAAGTGAAAAATCAATAGTGAACAAGTATTATTGGAAGTATTTTTTTGTTGAAAGGATAAAATGGGGTAAGAGAATGATAAGGTAGGAAAGTGAACCCTCAACAGTAAATTAAGCATTCAGGTAGTCAATTAGTTCAGCTATTAGAATTCCTCATAATGATAATTAAAACTTCTTTAAAAATTATAAAATCTCTACCTCTCACTTTAATTATACATGATTATATAGTTTGTTTGTTCTTTCAAGAAAAAAATAATTAATTGATAATGGATTATTTTGTTGTTAAATAACAAAAGATTATTACTATTTCTATAAAATGACGGAATAAAAGATTCATGTTCGCCATGGTTTATTCGAATTTTATAGATAATGTTTTTTGTTGTTGTAGTGATACAAGTGGCTAGATAGAAAAAAGAATTTGGAACCTATTGTACATCATGTATAACTTTTTTTTTTCTTTAAAACTCAGGATAACCCGCAACCGCTACAACCTTTGCCACAATATATGCCTTTGGGTGAGCACTCTGCGGTGAGCAGTTTGTGCGCACTGGGTAAACCCCACTATAACTTTTATCAATTTCAAAACATTGTAAGTTTTGCATTGCTACTATCTCTTAGGAACTTATTACTTTATTTTAAATAAAAAGGGAAAAAGGGCACAAAATGCGTCAAAACTCAAAAGCCCAACAAGTCGAAGGCCCATGTTATTGATCGGCCCAAGTGTTACTATGCAATCTCTTAACGGGGCGGCAGATTACTGAAAGTCCCAAGTTGGGTCGAGGTCCATTCTTCAATTTGCTCTATTTTATACTTGTTACTGAAAGACCAAGTTCAATAAGGTCCAATAGCGTTAATGATACATGTATCTGGTGGAAAAAATAGGGAAAATTTCATATATGGCAAACAAATTTTATGAAATAACATTTCATGGGTATAGTTTACATAATTACATTTTATGGGTATAGTTTAGTTTGTTAGGTAGCTTTAAATTTGTATAAAACGTTTTTTGTTTTGTTTTTAATTTATACAATATTTTACTTTTTTCAGTGAATGGTAACAATAGCGCTAAATATGGTAACAAAAATTTATATAATCCCATGATTTAAGCTAACGTTCAAAATCAAATATTTTTTCAAAAAAGAATTCTATAGCGAGAGAAAGACAATACCAATTTGTTTCCTCGCACGACTGAAGCAACATATTAATATAAAAATAATATATATGACATTCTTGCTTGTTTCATAAAAAATAGTGTGATGTATTTTTTTGAATTTTTTTGTGTAGTCTGTTTGTATATATAATTGTGTAATGTTTGTATATTTTATCATGTTCGTATTTTATTTTGTATATATCTATGAAATTGTATATGTATTATATTTGTATATGTGCATATGTAAAATCCTGTTATTTTTTTTTTGTATTGATTAAACTGATTGTATAAAATTCATATGTCAGTTGTAAATATGGTAATCGTGAGTGATTCGATAAAAAGATGGTGCTGAAATCTGTTTGTATACAAAAGTTGTGTACTATCTATATACAAAAGAGTGTGTTGTAGTCTGTTTGTATATATAACTTTTTAGTGTTTGTATATAATACCAAGTTCATATCTTGTGTTTGCACATAAATCTAACTCCCTATACAAAAATGAAGATAAACAATATTTCAATAAAGTGCTATATATAATCACAGTATTTTATACAAAACTAAAAATTTGTATAAATAATCTGTATTTTTATTAGTAATTCCTTTGTATAAAAATATACAATTGTCTCAATCAATATTGTATATAACTATTACTATACAATTAACACTATACATAACTTCAAATAATTTGTATATAACTAATAGAATATACAAATTACATTATACAATTGTGATTTAGGCATGAAGCTGTACTTATAATTCAAGTAACTTTTGTATAATTAACCAAATATACAAATAAGTAATTCAAGTAGCTTTTGTATAACTAACCAAATATACAAACAAAAATAGGGAAAAAGTTGGACAACATGAAATATTTGATATACATATGTCTGTATACAAATATGATTTAATCAGAATACTTTATGTATATTTGCACATAAGTAACGATATATACAAATATCTATCTAGAATTTCGTTTTAAGCCAACACCTGATGTTCCTGATGGTCTTTAGGTTTATCCAGATCTGATGAAGCAGATTCAATGTCCTCTGAATCACTGTTTACGATTTTTCTCATACTTCCTCCTTCAACAATTTTAATGTCGCTAGCCTTCGCAATGTTGATGACTTTCCGAATTTCGATTGGGTCATTTTTTTTTCTTAGATCTCAATTCTTCAATAGATTTTTCAACTTGAACTTGTTTAGCTTTTGCCACAGATCCTGCATTGAACCCAAAATCTTGAGTTAATCCGATTGAAAATGACGGTGGATTGTCAACAACTTTGACAAAGAATGGCGTACCTCTAGTAATCCTCACAGATGGAGAGGAATAGTCCATACTGCTGTTAATCTGATAAGGAGAACGAATATTTAGAAAAAAATTATCAAAAAACTAACAAACAATACATTTACAATTGTTGAAAATAGAAAAAATAGATTCACCCATGATTTTGGTGGTTTCCTGCAAAAAGTTGAAACACGATTGAGGGGAGAATGTGGAATTTGAAATTCAACTTAGAAGTGGAAGAGTGATTTTAGGAGAAAGATATAGGATGAGGATATGAGAGATAAAAAAGATTTTGTATAAAATTTTATAGAAAAGCAATTGAATGTCTTTGTTGATTTGGTATACAAAGAGGTGGTGGGTCCCAGTAATTATGGTAAAAAATTGAAACTATATTTACTGACAGTAAATAAATCAAACTATACCCTTATTAACTAATAACTAAGGGATGTTTGCCATCTCATGTAATTTTCCCGAAAAAATATGGCATAGGATGTAATATGATGATATTGACCATTGTTGAAAAAATTCTCCATCGCAAGAAACAAAAAAAAAATGATGCCAAGAAGTTGAAGTTTACCATTAGAGAATTAGATTAGTTGTATGATTTCGTTATTTTAAGAAAATTTGTTAAAGTTGATACACTAAGGAATCAGATCTCTGTTAGAGTTATTAATTAATCCTCAATTACTCTGAAATATTCAAACCAACAGATATATACATGTATCCAAAAGATAAAATATGGTATAGGATGCCAAGAAGATGAAGTTTACCATTAGAGAATTAGTTTAGTTGTATGATTTCGTTATTTTAGGAAATTTGTTAAAGTTGATATACTAAGGAATCAGATCTCTGTTAGAGTTATTAATTAAACCTCAATTACTCTGGATATCCAAACCGACAGATATATGCATGTATCCAAAAGATAAAATATGGTATAGAAAGTAATATTTGAAACTATCGATGGGAATCCTAGTAATTAGGACCTAAACTAGTGAGATTTATGTAGTTACTTTACTTTATTTTGCTTGGGCCCAATGAAGTTTGATGCGTCGATTTAGTTAGGGAAAAAATATAAATTCACCCTTGAACTTGTCTCGAAAAGTCAGTTACACGCTTAAACTATCATGACGACCTGTTACGCACCTTTATTATTTAAAAATGAATTTGATGTGGCATTGATGTGGCGCAAGTGTGATACACCTCCCATTGTGAGAGTGGTGCTACATGTCTTAGGGGGTAACAAAATTCACTATTTAGTAGCAGAGGTGTGTAATAGGTCACCATATTAGTTTAAGCGTGTAACTGACTTTTCGAGAAAAATTCAAGGGTGAATTTATGCCTTTATCCCATTTAGTTGTAATGAATATACATGAACGAGATATTGAGATTCTTCTAACATCTCAATATCTGGACATCTTGTACATTTTTTCTGAATTTTCTATCCTATAATGTAAGTTTTTTCCATGAATATATTCTTTACTTAATATATATATATTTTTTCAAAATACAAAGTTATGAGGCTTATTTTTCATGATAATTAAGGGGCTTTTACCCCCTTTTATGAGAGGCAAACCTCTGAATACTATTCCTGCCATTTAAAATACTTCTAAGAGATTTTAATGAATCCAATATGACGGAAAACTCAAAATAATCGTTTTTGTTTGGAAGCAATTAACCTCTCAATGTGAAACTTTTCAATCCGTTTAGAATTAGTCGGGCCTCAATGCGAATATTAGACATCAGATAGAAAATAAAAATTTAAAACACAGAATGGTAATAAAAGGTTATAGTTTCTTCCATTTATCTCAAAGTACACCATTCTCTTTAGGCATCCATTACATGAAACACTAATTAATCACGCATAAATTAGTGAAATACATATTGATTATCATTCACTTAATAATGTGTCTTGATTGGTTAGCTGAGATAATAGTGAGGCAAAGGTAGAAAATAATAGCAATGTAAGATAAAATTAGACTGAGTGTTGCTTTGTGACAGAATTTAGGAACAAAAGTACATATAGGATTCCACCCAGAATGTTTTTGCCCATATTTACCCACATATCCTATTGATGTTGCTGCTGCACATCCAGCCACCAGTAATCCAAACACAAACTGCCATTTAATTAATACTATAATTAAAATTTAATTACTAGTAAAGAAACTACCTATTTTAAGTTTTATGAATTGACCGATAAAAAATATTTACATAATCAAATCATTTATAAGCTAATTGTAGATGATATTAAATTATAGGCTTCTTGGACATATTATGTCCTTAATGAATTAATAGACGAATGTTTTTGTTGATATTTTTTTTCTTTCTAAAGGATCTTTCACTAGGATTGAAATTTAATTTAATACTTTGTCCGTTTCATTTTACTAGACTCATATTGACTTGAAAATATTTATTTAGGAATTTATTTTACTAAATTCACTTTATTAATTATACTTTGAAACCTTATATAGTTATTTCTCTTGATTAGGTAAAATAGATAAATAATATTTTTTAATATAAAGACCAACTAAAATAAAATGGACAAAGTATTTTCCTCATCTTAAAATTTGAAAATCTGACGGTCAAGAGATTTGACTATTATGCATGTCATTTACATTTATTTTTTTAGCATTGTAGAAAAATTAGCACTAGATTTTATATCATCTGTAATATAAGAGAGTGAAAACTACGAAGGAAATGATCAATGGTACAAAGGGGAATAATAATAATAAAGCAAGTTACACATTTAATCGCTCGCCAATAAAATAAATTAAGGAGGGAACGTACCAAATCATGGAGGAACAAGTAAAAAAAGTACTTGTTGGAGTGAAGATGTTTTTTATAACAACAAATCAGAACAAGAAATAGAGAAACAACAGATGAGGTACATCCAATGATATTTGCATATGCAAAAAATCTGCAAATTAAGGGTAAAAAATTATCATATAAAAAAAAAGAAATTCAATTTAAATTAATTAGTACTAATTAATTATAATTTTTTTAATTACTTACTTCATTGAAGGAGAATAGGTGTAACGGGCATCAAGGCCAAGAAAGAGAACTTGTTTACTAGTCATAATTCTCCAAACAGCACCTAAACAGAAAGCAAATCCCAAAATTCTCAAAATAATTTGAAAAATTAACATAACTTTTTGAGTTTTGGGAGAAGGGTTATGCTTAATCTTGACTTCGAATCTTTCCATTCTGAATAATTGAGAAAAAAAAATTGTAGGTAAAAAAATTAAAATAAAATCAAAGCATAAAAAAGGACAAGAGAGTTGTGTGAAATAGGAGGTTAAATTTAATTTTTGTTGTTAGTATTTAAGGAGAAGATAAGAATGGAGTAGTTATGGGGTAAATTTCATAAATGATCACAGAATTATGATTTTATTAAAATTATTTATCATAAATTTATTTCCAAAAATAAAAATACTTTACCATCAAACTTTCACACTACTAACACAAAAATCACAATAGCAAAACAACTCAACCTTTCGATGAGCGATAATTTAATCTATATTTTAGCCCTTTTTAAATTTCTATTTTTCTTTTATAAATACAGTTTCAATAAAAAGAGTAAATTCCTTTCAGCAACCCCAACCAACCAACCCCCAACACCTCTTTTCATACGTGTAGTTAGTATATTTATTGTGTTACATTTTATTGGATACGAAGAAACTAAATTTTATGGAGAAATAGTTACTATTATTAATTATTCTTGCAAAAGTTATTAGTGTATCAGAAATAATAATAATGTAGTAAATTATGTTCAATTCATATGACCCTTTTAGTCGTTTGATTGATTAAAGTTTCTTTAGGTATTTTAAATGAGCTAAGAAAGGAAATAATGAAATATCAGTTTAGGTGAAAATCTTGAAAATGGATATGCAAAATTGAGGGCAAAAATGGGATACATTTGGAAGCGTAAAAAATTGATAGATTATCATTCATCGAAAAGTTATAAAATTGAGTTGGATCGGTCTTCTTTTAGTTTGATTTATTTATTAAATTAAAAATATCAAATTATTTTAGACTAAACTATTGACGGTAAAAATATTTTTTAAACCAAATTATTAACTTAGTGTATTTTATTTAATTTTGCATAATTCAAAAATATTTTTGACTCATTTTTTTCATAAATAAAAGAACATTTATTAAAAAGAGATATTACTATGGTAAAAGATTAAAGATATAAGGGAAAATTAGTTATTGTTTTATTAATATTTTTAAAATAAAAAAATGTATAAAAAATTTCCAACTCAAATCTTATGCTAAATTTTTTTACTGCCCCTATGAACAATTTCCAACTCAAATCTTATGCTAAATTTTTTTAGACCATTGTCTTCTACTTGAATTATTTCTCTTTAACACTTTTAATTCAAAAATAAATCTAAACTATCAATAGCAGAATGACTATTATGTGTTAAGAAAGTTCAAAATTGAGACAAATAACAATATGTTTTTAAATTCTCATCATCTAGTGATCTTAATTTACCACAAAATAAGACGGCTTGAGTGTGAGCTAGGATGCTCAAGAGTTTCATATTAGATGAAAAAGAAAGGATTGTGTGATCTTGTACAATTATTCCTACGAATAATTTTTTTTATCATAAATTACTTCTGACTTTTGACGTTTATTTATATTCCCAACTCCTTTCTTTCCGCTTATCAATTGTTACTGTCCTTATGTTATGTTGCGTGTAATTGGCAGCAATGGACATAATTGATACTCCTATATATGAATTATCATCGGCTAAGCATTAAAGAATGAGGCAAGTCAGAGTTTGAAATGCTATAATATATTTGTTATTGGTGTTGGACGTGTGAAAAAAAGTTTTATATTTTGGTACCTAAAAGAAAGAGATGATATTATGTATACGGTGTAACATCATTTTAATAGTGATAATTTTTTGAATAAACAATCGTGTGAGTATATGATTAAAGCGGACAATATGACGCTAATTAAGAATGTTATAAAATTTACAAATATGTGGCCACTTTTTAGATTTAATTTTGAAACTGAAAAATTGCCATCATCATGAAATTTAAATTTCACAGTGAAACTCTATGATAATCATATAACTAAAAAGTGACTAGTGTACGTTATCACTGTGTTAAGAGTGTCTATCCAAGCTGACTTAGCTCAATAACTTGTATCAAACTCAAGGTTCAAGACGGATAAAAAATAATATAACAGACTAATAGCCATGGAGTTTAGTTTACTACCCTATATTCGGTTAATTAAGTACATTCGGGAAAAACACACTAAATAAACAAGGCGTATGACTCGTTACGTTGACATGGCTATACTTTTACTAGCTACTTATTTATCTATTAATATTTGTTTGAATATAAATTATTTCATTAAAGGTAAATAAAAAAATTTAAAATTAGATTGTTTCTACTAATAAAAAGGTGGCCCTTTTTTGGGATAGACTAAAAAGAAAGTGTGTCACATAAATTGAAATCAAGAGAATAAATTCTTTAAAATTTGTAATATTAATTATGTTATACTACATTTGTGTAGTTATAAATTTTCAAACACTTATGAATTTTAAACCTATCATGACATTTATATATCTATAATTTTTTTTATGAAATATAAAAACATGTCAACCTTATTACAAACCAATAAAAAATAATTTTATATAAATTGAAACAAAAAAATAACTTAAATGTTGCAAAGTTAAAAATAGTCCAGAAAATTAAAGAAACTATCAGACACTATAATACTACGTACAAATATAGCCAGGGTCCAGGAGTAGCTGCGATAATTTAATAACTTCACTGCGTACATATAAATAGAAGTAAAAATAAATTAAATACAAGTCATTTATAATTCCACCAAATATTGTACAATCAGCAACTGAAAATATTTAATACTTACTGCATCTGCATTACATAAGTTTTTTTCTTTTTTACCTTCCTTGATACTACAAGGTAAAATTAAATTTTACTACTATTATATACTTTGGCCTTTTTTTTTAATTTCTCGGGGTAATAATTAAGTTCAAACTTGAATTTTTCTGGATTGATATGCGGATATAATAGTAAGACATAAATAGAAAATAACCCCAAAAATAGAGAATATAACACTGGCTGTCATTTTATGACAAAATTTTGTAACAGAATCACAAATAGGCATCCACCCTGAACGAATCTGTCCATATTTTCCTACATATCCAATTGTTGCTGCTGCTGAACATGCAGATAGCAATAGAGCCATCATAATCTGCAATAATATTCCCCATGTTATATACTTACTAATAATAATAATACGTTTCGTATTTTATGAAGCGATATGAACAATGAGTACTATTCATATATCGATGATGAGGAATGAAGGATATTTATGATATTCAAAATAATTTATGTAGATTCACTACTTATGTAGTAGTATAATTTATTTTTTTGTGTGTGTGAATGTTATAATTTCTAGGTTTTTTTGATAGTTGGGTCGTTATTCTCAGATTAATTGTTGTTGTATTATGATTTATGCTTATTTTTTATTTTTTACTAATGTATTATGCTTTGGATTCACGTGGATGGTGTCAATAATGCTTATAGTCCCAAAAGAAATAAAGAGATAATTAATAAGAGAAGAATGATTATGCTTTGGGCCATTTATGTCAAACATTCTTCTTATATATCTCCCATATTAAGAGAATTTTCTTGAAATGAAATTTGTTTATACCAACTACGAAAACGTAGAATAAATGAGAGTTTAGGGGTGGTAGTGTTGGGATGGTCAAAGGGTGGGGGTTGAGGTAGTGGCAGAACCATCTTATACGAAGGCTTTTATCATAAAATTACATTGTTTAGTTTAGTCAAAATTTTAGTTTTATGTGTAGGATCTGTTTGACCATGAGAATTTTTCACTTGAAAATCAACATTTAATCATGAAAATTCTGAATATAATTTGAAGAACACCCGAATTTTGTTTTTACTATTTTCACTATAATTTCTTTTTCAAATTTATCCTATTTTTATTTTTATGTTTTAATGGATCCATTTAAATTATGTTTCATATTTCATGTTTTTTTTAAAGTAAAAGTACATTTAAATAACTAACTATTATTTGCAAAAATTATAACCAACACAATTTCATCTTCAAACTCCACCTTCAGAAATTCAAATAAAGTGTAAAAGTATTTGTAATAGTTTGTATATGAGATCTAATATATAACATTATGTGATTATTCATTTTGAGATGTTACTCTTTTAGAGTAGATTCAACAGTACATTTCAGATCCATAAATTAGTTAAGTTGGATGATTTTGCTAGTTTTTGAAATCATGGATATAAATCATATTTTAAGAAAATACATTCAAATCTAAAAATTTTCTTTGTAAAGATTATGACCAAACACAACTCTAACTTTAAAATTTCTTACTCCTCAATAGGGCAAAAGCAACAAAATTAGAACGCCATGAAATTTATTTTTCCAATTTCATTAGGAAATTTGTTACAATATGTAAAGATGAGCCGATGACCTAATCACCTCAAATACCTTGAATATTCATAACTTATAAGCAAGATATTGAATTGGAGAAAATTGCCTCATCTATAATAAAATATAATTGACTTATCAATTTAAAATGATTATGTGCAAAAGCAAAAATATAATAATTAAAAGGTAGGACGTACCATATCATGAATGAAGAGGTAAAAATACTTGTGTGGGTGAAGATTCGTACGTCCAAAGATGGAAGCAAGAAGCAGGGAAAAAAATGAGAAGGCACATCCAATGACATTTGCATAAACAAAGAACCTGCACATACAAAAAAATAAATTCCCATACAACTTCAGCACAAAATATAAATCCAATATAAAAGCTCTCGTTTAATCGTGGATTTTAAAAAATTATTTTCTATGATATTTGATCAGTTTTTGAAAATCAAGTTCCAAAAACTCGTCTAGATCAGTTTTTGGATGAAATTTCACTTTCACTCACAAATCCTTAATTTTTTTTAAAAAAAATTCAACTAAACCTACAATCAAACACTAGTTTAAAAAAAATACTTGAGTGCGGGAGAATAGGTATATCGAGCATCCGTCTCAACATTGAAAATAATGAGAGTCTGTGTGCTGTTGAAAGTTATGCAAGCGGCAGTCAAAGTGAATGCAGTAGCCAAAATCCTCAACAAAATTTGGGCGAAAATGAAGTGTTTTTCAGATTTCATAGATGGGGTTTCTATTGATTTGATTGCAAAGTGATTCATTTTTTTGAAGATTTCTCTCTTCTTTAGAAAAGTAAAATGATGTAAAGGGCCAAAAGTATAATAATATTAATTAATATAAGAGAATAAGCAAATGTGGGAATTGTTGTGGAATAGTGGATATCGGTGGTGCTATTTATTTATACAGGGAGAAGAGTACTTAATAAATGTGAATTCACTACAAGTACAAATAGTAGATGTACATAAATAGAGTTGGTTTAAGTTTTTTAAATATTAAATTAAATTAATTGTATTGAATTTTTAAATTTATAAATCAAAATAATAAAGTAGGATTTTTTAATCTTGGATTTTCTCAAACTTTTTAGGAATTTTTTTTCCCAATCAAATCCCCATACAAAACATATAACTTGATTCGGATTATCGTTATTTTTCGATTTATTTTTTTACACCCTAACTATAACATCGAGAAAAAACCAACATGATTAAAGGTTATGAAGTATATTTAGGTCAGTTCCGTGATAACAATAACATGGTGGATCTTGTAATTATTTTGCGAATTTTTTCCTTTAATTATTCATTATTTCATTTAGCAATCTAAATTATCATTTTTTTTGTATTAGAACACACCTTAATGTTAAGTTAGCTTAGGTAAAAAAAGAAGAAGTAATAATTAAGATACGAAACTCTAAATATACATTTTTTTGTATCATTAGTGTTATAGCAAACAAATATGACATGATACTAAAGTCTTTAAAAATCTCCTTAGTGTTTTTTTATAGTTTTATTTTTTAGGCGAAATGGTCTGGTGGACCCTTATGCTTGTATGAATTTATATTGTGAACCCTTCTACTTAACCATTTATCAACTAAACCCTTAAACTCAATCAAACGAATAATTTTAAACCCCTCTTATCATGTGTATAGTTCACTCGCCTTTTAATAGATGACATGTCAAATTCATGTCAAATCCATGTCACATAAATTAATAACATGTCAAATTCATGTTAAATCCATGTCACATAAATTAATAACATGTCAAATTCATGTTAAATCCATGTCAAATAAATTAATAACATATCATAATTATCTTCATTATTTATTTTTAAAAACTATTAAACAAAGTTTTACTAAATAAAATATAAAATAATAAATTTATTAAGCAAAATTTGGGACTCCACAGCGTAACATCTAGCTAAAATCCACTGGCGAAAGTCGTCGCCGCCACCATTCTTATTGCCGGCGAAACTTGTACAAAATCAGTAACCCTAAGTCGACACACCACCGGCGAGCCACCAGGGACCGCCTCTCTTCTCCATCCGCTCCGTCGTACCAATAAACCCCCTTGCCGTCTCCCGTTCTGGTGAAAAGGGATCAACGCCGCCTCTCTCTTACTTCATTTTGAATCAGTAGACTCCGACGAGCACCACGATAAATCAACGCCGTTTTCTCCTTCCAGTGATAACAACTTGAAATCTGACGCCAAAGAGGTGCCAATGTCCTGCTAAAGGTGATAAGAAGTGTGGAGAAGAAAGAAAAAGGCGTTGGGGGAGGAATGGGGATGCGGCAAAATTAGGTTGAGTTGAAGGAAGAAGAAGACTTTTTAAAATTTATTTTTTCTTTTTTTTTAATTTTTAATTTTTAATTTTTAGTTTTTTTTAATTCAATATTTATTTTTTAGTTTTTTTAATTCAATATATTATTTTTTAGTTTTTTTAAACTTAATATTTTATTTTTAAATATGAAGTCACTCGCCTTTACATGCGTGTAGTCACACTCTCTTGCCAACTCAACCATCTTAATGCCACATAAGTCTGGTCAATGATCAGAGGGGTTTGATATATTGTATTTTATCGAGTTTAAAGGTCTAATTGATAAATGATTAAGTAGAAGGATTTACAATACAAATCCATACAAGTACAAGGGTCCACCAGACCATTTCACCTTTTTTTTCATAAAGAAAGTTCAAGGGCAAATAAGAGGCTTATGGGGCGTCGTTGTTGGTTGTCCAACTCGCCTAAATTTGGGCGAATTAATAGCTTGTCTATTTATTAACTTAATTTATTTCCATACATCAATTTATTTATTTAGAAATTGATTTTAAACAATCGACTCCTAGGAAATTCTACTAAAATATTTTTTCTTAAAACTTTTTTTTTTACTATGTTATATAGCACTGGAAAAAGAACAAAAAAAATTTATTATTTGTGTTTGATAATTAAATAAATTTAAATTTTAAAATTAATCAATTAAATTTATGACTCAATATTTGACGTATCTCAATTCTTTAGTCACCCTTCTATTCTTTCCCTAGACAGAATCACAGTTTCTAAAGCAAAACACAACTTTTTTTCCCCAATCAATTGTATAGCAATAGTTACTTTCACTATCTATTCTTTGAAAAGAAAAAAAAAGAGATCGTAATAACCTCATCATTAATGGTATATATATATATGGTGAAATAGCTGGAATCTCTTTACATATAATTTATCTAAAAGCATGAGCTATTTTAGGATTGTCTAACCTAATCTCATGCTCCTTAGCTGTTATGGTCCACTTTAAAGTTATTTATAAATCAATTTAATTGGTTGATTTTACGTCTAATATTTTGTAGTACTTATATTATCACCCTTCTTTTTAAAGTCGAATCAAGCTAAGTTGATGTAAAAGAGTTAGAGATCATAAAAAAATATTTTCACGCAATTGAAAAGTTTTACTTCTTAAATATCGATTCGTTGCAAATTTCAAAAAACGAACAAAGCTATTTTGATAAATGCAATATACCCGAAAAATACTTGCACTTGTTTGTTATGTATGTACAGGAAAGCATATTAAAATAAGTAATAGATTGAAATGATAGTATATATCAATATAATATAATTAAGTGATAAGATGTTATATAAGATCACATCTTATTGATTTAGTTAATTAAATACTGAATGGAAAGCAAATTGTTTTTGTACTTCTAAATTCTAATAGTGCACGGCGTTATCAAGATTAATAGTGCAATGAATATATTCTATCGTCCAACGTATTCGACTGCATTAATTAGTCTCTATTGTGGTGAATAATCATTTAGAAATATAAAAATCCTATCAATTCACTTATTTCAAAAGTATTCCCCTTTAATTTCTATCGAATGAACTTAATTCAAATTTTATTTTTCTTTATTTAGTTTTTTTTTTTTAAAACCCAACAATCAATACATCCCTTTAGGGGTAGGTTTGATTAATTTTTAATAGTAAGTGTAACGTTAAGGCTCAAATTCAGGACAATTCTTTGCTTTGTTATTATTAATTGTATGTTGAAATGCGCAAACATCTAATATAAAAGATTAATCAAGTTGTTACATGAAGTTTTTTTTACTTAATTATATTTTTAAATGGACCAAAAGTTCAATTTATTCGAAAAATGTGAAAATGGAAATATTATGTTTTAAGAAAGATCGATCTTTATTTCTATCGAATGAACTTAATTCAAATTTTATTTTTCTTTATTTAGTTTTTTTTTAAAAACCCAACAATCAATACATCCCTTTAGGGGTAGGTTTGATTAATTTTTAATAGTAAGTGTAACGTTAAGGCTCAAATTCAGGACAGTTCTTTGCTTGTTATTATTAATTGCATGTTGAAATGCGCAAACATCTAATCTAAAAGATTAATCAAGTTGTTACATGAAGTTTTTTTTACTTAATTATATTTTTAAATGGACCAAAAGTTCAATTTATTCGAAAAATGTGAAAATGGAAATATTATGTTTTAAGAAAGATCGATCTTTATTTCGTAATTTTTTTTAAGTGACTTAAATACACGTTCGGTTTCTATAGTTAATGATTAGCTAATTTAGATTTTTAGATAATGACAAAAGACGCTTAACGTATACGTACCTCACAAGTTTGGACCACATGTTGGGTTCTTTCGTTAAAAAAAAACAAATTAAATCGATAAGTAGATCAAGCGGTCTGATTAATTAGGATTTACATTGAAAGTTAGAGTTTTATTTTTTGGGGTATACACTTCCTATCCAAACAATTTGGTAATAATAGTATAAATTCAAAATTTCTCATTAAAAATGAATGACTATTTATCACTTCAGCAAGATAAAATATGGATTTCTATTTCTTTTCTATTTTATTCTCTTCAAAACGAATGCAGAAACATAATCAATGTTAGCATTGACCTTTGAGCAAAGTATCTTATAAGCATGTAGAATTAGAAGGTACCCATAACCTACGTACTAGGGTGGATCAACATGATATGATATAGTATGGTATGGTATTTAAAATTTTGATTAAACAATTTTGTTTTCAATATTTTTTTAAATTATGATTTTATTAGTTCAATATTATTAAGTTTTCACATATATGCCCTTCAACTTTGGATGTGTACAAGTAGACACTTAAATTTGTATAAAATTGAACAAATAGACATACACATTCTATAAGGCATCCTACATGACAATTTTCATCATGCGTGGTGTTTAATGTGTAATATGCAATGTAAGAGTTATGTGTCTACTTGTTCAACTTTATATAAGTTAAAGTGTCTACTTTTGCAAATCCAAAATTGAAGGCATAAATGTGAAATAAAGTCAAGTTAAAGACACATTTATGTATTATGCCAAATCACAATTATCAAAAATTATAATTTAATATAATAACTCGATACTACTGTACAATTCCCAACCCCAGTACACAGTACATTATACATGCACTACCAAAGACGGAAAAGGAAGAAAATAGTAAATAATTAAAACTAAGTACTAATGCTAGTGTATGTACAAATAATTGTAACGCAAGTTTTAGTAATTAATAAAATAATATCATTATAAAGAAATTTGACAATACATATTAGAGATATCAAATTGATCCCCAAAGCATAGGACCCGTCCAACTCACTCAAATTATTATGAGTTGGTTTCTAGATAATTTATAATTGGCAAAAATAGTTATTAACATAGTTTCGTTTAACTCTCAATTTCATATATATATATATATATATATATATATATATATATATATTCTGAAGGATCGGATTTCAGGTCACGAATCAGGTCTGATCTTTGGTGCCAAGCCAAGATCGGATCCAATACCTACGACTCGAATTTTGAGTTGGATTTAGGGTCTCTTATATTTTTTATTTTCTTTCGGTGAATTTAGTCTCTTTTCTTTTATTAAATAAATTACTAAATATCAAAATTATTTAGATTAAGCTGGTCAAAATAATCGAATCATGATTCAACTTGAATTTTAGTCCAATTTCGTTCAAAGTAAATTTGAATTATCATAATCCAACCTGATCTTTCATTCATCATATTTTAATCTCTCTAATTTCAATTCAATCTATCCATTTGATGTTTAGTAGATTTTAACAAATCTACGAAAACATTTCTATTTTTTTTCCTTTGAAGACTAACCTAATACAATTCATTCATTACTAAATGAAATCGCACTTCATTTCAACTTTTTTCATGTTTCCACATTTAAGTTATTTAGCAGAGTACTGCATAAATTGAGAGGACAAAGTACTACTACCTTCGTCCATTTTTAATTGTCATGATTTTCTTTTTTAGATTCAAATAATAATAACTTTGACTAACATTTTACAAAGTATTTTTTCATTATATTGATATGCAAAAAAAATGAATTTATAATACTTTTCGTATAGTTTTTGAATATCTAAATTTTTTATTTAAAATATCGAATTAATGTATTTATCTAATTTAACTTTGAAAATTAGTAAAATCGACTTTCGAAAAGTGCAGCATAACAATTAAAAGTGGACGAAGGGAGTCATATTTAATACTATTATTTATACGTACTAATTACCAAAGCGTTGCATGGCCATCAGCTGCGTTACATTGTTTTCCCAACTTATTGGAAAGTCAGAGTTTGCCATTTACCTAACATGACATATATAGATCATATTTGTTGTAATACTAAGATAAACGTGGCCTGTTTTTCAGACGATTACGTAGTAGGGAAAATTAAGAACTCTTAACAAAAATAAATTAAATCCATCGGAAATCGACTCGTTTGGAAATATTTGACTTTTCGCGAAAAATCGTTTAATAACGACACGACATCTATCAGAAATTAATTAAAATTCCATCTCCGCACCAAATGTTCTTACATGAACATCTTAGTTAGCTTTAATTTCATACATAAAGTTGCCAAGATGCATGTATGATGTCTTGATTCAGAAGCGAGTAAACAGAAAAAAGATATATACAACTGCTTGAAATAAAGTTCAAGAAAATTTATACAACTTTTGAATAAATTGTGTGGTCAAAAAAGAAATAGACTTTTTTAAAAAAGAACAAGAGAAAATAAGAAAAACAAATTAAAATGTAATATCAGAATTTTTTTTGAATTTGAAAGAGACATTTTGCACTCTCTTAAATATTTTGATATTGTAGAAAGAGCAGAAAAACAAACTCCCTATTTTGTAGGTTTGGCTGAATTATTAGGCCCCGATTGCCCTTTTTGGTGTCAGCCAATTAGGAAAACATTATTATACTGCCTTAAATCCAACTGTTTTCAGCTACTTAATATTAGAGGCTCTTGTTTTTTTGTATAATTTACTCTCTTTTTCTTCTAAAGGAAATTGACTGAGAATCGTGTGTTTGGTAAGAAGAGAAATATTTTTTAATTAAATTTCTTACTTATTTTCTTGTGTTAAGTATATAAGTGAAAATATATATATATATTCTAAAAGCATTTGTATATAATCTAGACAAATATTATAACAGATGGAGGCGGACGGGTAGGATAGGATTGTGGGGTTGTGGCCGGTGGGGATGGGGTTATAGGTGGGGTGAAGTGTGCCGGACAAGGGAGAAGAATTAGATGACACAATCACTATAGAATGTCATTGATCTATTTATTTTCCTTCTGTCACTAGAAAAATCAACTTCCTCATTTCAACGAAATTTGTTTTTTTTAGTGTAAATATTTTCCAAAACTTTTTAGTCGATCAAGTAGAAAAAAAATGAAAAAAATCTTTTTTTTTTCTCCTTACACACGTGGCGGTGTAATGGTGTTGGGAGCATATGTGAGAGGATTAGAAAGGTATTCTCTGTATCATATTGCTGATTTAATTTCCTTTTTAAGTTATGCGAACAGCGAACGTATCGGGAACAATGTAAAGTTTTTTTTTTTCTTAAAAAAAAAGGATGATTCTTTAAATTTATGATTTTAAATATATCATAACATAATTGTGATTTGTGTGACTTGATTATAACTTATGAGCATTTGTTTGATACGAAAGGAAAATATTTCACTTCGGTTTTCATATGTTTAATTGGCCATCCTATGAGAATAACAGATTTCTATTTATTTTTTTAAAAGATAATTTTTCTAGTGAAAAAAAGTAAATGACATTTTAATCTAAATGTCTCTTCTGTATCCTCAATGCCTTACTAGTCACAAGTTAAATACATAAGAAAATTTTTTGACTAATCAGGTGAAATGGTCCAAGTTCGAAACGTGCCATATTAGCTTTGATTCGAATTTCACATGGGGTTTTTCGAGAAAGACTTTTCATGCATTTATGCAGAAAATTGTGGAGCTAAAGTCAAAGGAACTAGGGTATGAACAAATGGTTTCTAGTAGTTAGTACAACTGAGTCACATTTCAGAATAGTGAAAAGAAAGAAAAAAAAACATTTCTTCCTTTCCCTGTTATTTTTTTTTCCATTGATGGTAGAAAATGCTTATGTACAATTCTGTACAGGTCAATGATAAAACTATTTATTGGAAAGAATTTACAGGTGAACTAGGAATAACATTTACATTATGCACAACGGAAATAAGACGGTGAGACATCGAATAAAGTTCACCATCTCAGTCGCTGATGTCAAAATACTTGGGATCTCTGGGGAAATGATGTTCTACATGTAACTGCAGTTTCAAAAATATGGATTCCAATTAGTATCATTGAACTAATTGAGCATCAATAATATCACAAATGAAGGCAACCAATCTACACTGCCAAACAATATCTACTTCTGCATCCAGAGGACAATATACTCTTCCACCGAAAAAGGAAGACAATAACCTAAGCATCTCCTTCAAAGTTGGCAAACAGCACGGAGAAGTAGATATTGATGGAATATGCATGCACTTAAGAATGTGTATGGGAATTCTCATACTATTATGATTGAAGTCGAGCAAATGCTACAAGTTCCTTGTTCACATTTTAATGAACTTTAGCATATCACTCCAGAAAGACATAACATTAGCTCCCCTTAATCCCAGTGGAGAAAACACAGGTTTCTTCTCCATTTCAGAGAAAGAAGGCAAAGGTTGGATGGTTGGACAAATCTAAATTACTAATCACAACATAGTTCTCTTCATTTTAACAAATTTCAATAACATCAATTCAATTTACTGAGGCAACGGGGTGAACAGAGTGCACCTCAAAGACCAATTAGTCCAACATCACTGAATCTTTTTAAAAGACATACAGATGCTTTAGTTAGCAGTAGGATACATAACGCAGCGTAAGTCATATATACCATATTAGACATACCTTGCCTTCATCAGCATCTGAATGTCGTTGAGGGAAAACTACTCTCATATCATTATACAAGTAGAATCGTCTCTCCTGATCATCTTTGCACTGAATACCTGATTTTGTGCTCTTCTTCGGGTAGGGACACAAGAACCAGAGATGTAGAGCGTAACGAAGAACACTAGAATTAGCAGTACTCTCATTCACCTTTGAAGTGCTATTTGCAGGTTTCGTTCCACAATGGCCTGCCTTGCCAGTACCATGAGATTTGGTAGAATGGCTTTCACGCAGCATAGATTCCTCAACACTAATAACCGACGGTGGTTCACTATCCATCTTTCTGTCTAAACTCTTGTTTCCAGCTTTATCCATAAACAAATTTATCTTTTGACGTAAAAATGTCTGCAATCACGTAACTAGTGTGAGATCACCATTGTCAAATGTGGATTCACATAAATGCTAGTATGACTTTAATAATGCCCCATGTATATCCTATTAAAATCGAAGTAATCACTAAGATCATAGATGAAAGCATTTTAGCTGCACATAGTTGCACCTATTTTCCCGTTACACATGTATAGGCACAGATCATCAAATACCAATCTCAAAAAATAACTATTCAAGTCCAGTGAACCGAAACCAGGACCGCTTACAAAGATTGTTCAGCCAACCTAATCTTTAAGACCAGCAAAGGAATCAACAGGCTACAATTCAACTGCAGACAAACAACTGCATGGCTAGTGAAGCCATCTTGCACTAGTTTGCTTGAAGAACAATGTTTCATGTAATTGGGCTCAAATAGTGATTAAAACAAAGATATTCAAGGCTAATGCATAACTGCATAATAATAACCCCTTTGGATGCTAAAGATATAGTACCTCTTCACTGCATATAACATGAGATGCAGTACTTTTTTATTGACACTCATCATTAAAGCTATCATGGAATCAGGCAAATATCAGAATATAGATTATCTGTCAGTCCCACAGATGAAAGGTATGAAAGAAGAGTCTGACACAACTATCTCCTATCTACTATAAAGACCCATCAGTTTCCCATTTTGTCCATAATCAAACATGCACAAAATCAGTGCAATGCCCAATAGTACTGCTCGCATAGTTCCCCATTTATTCATCATCAAACATGCACAAAATCAGTACAATGCCCACTGGTTCTGCTCTATAAAAGCTCGTGAACTGATTACTTATCTTAGCATACACAGATGCTTCAAGTATTTACTGCTGCTTGAACCATATTCCAATATCAAAATTCGATGAATAAAGTGATGATCGACTAGATATTCTCCGATAAAGAAAAGCTCGTACATCATTATGATAAAAAATAGAAGTTCTCACAATTATACCAAAGTTGCATAGTTTCCCCACCTCAAAGTGGTAATACAGCTTGAACCTACCTTAGTACCAGCTGGCATGTCACTCAAATCATAGCTACATAAGAATGTGTGGATAGGTGTTCTCTCTGGATTGCTTAGAACCTGCGCCAATAGCAATCAAAAGTTTATACTTACATAAAGGAAAGACAAAGGCACATTTATGTTAAAATCATCAGCAAATTACCAAAAAATGTATATCTCGTACAACTAGGAGTCACAAAGAGCTGTAGCATTCAGAAAGAAGGAAGATTTCTACATATATTATTTTCATATAACGGTGGTGTTCAGACCTGCTTGCTCGCAAAAGGAAAATTTCTACATTTGAGTGTCACATCTCAGAGTTATAGCCTACAGTTAATTCTAGAGCTGCGTTCATATTCAGTTTCTCCGTAAAATGACCAAAGAGAACTACTGGATGAGGGACTCAAACTTTCTATTTCATGATCAATCTCCAAGCTATTTGGTATTCTCTGAAACAAATAAGTTATCCTTATTGTTTTAGGATCTCTGGGAAAAGTAAAACAAAATGGTGGTTGACTAATCATAGTCATACAACTCCCTGCTTTAAGCCAAGGAAAAACCAGAAAGATGAGAGTACTTAAGACCAAGGTGATAAACGTAATGGAAAGACCTATATTAAATCAATCACTTCATGCTCCCCACGAGAATTACAGGCTGAGAAGATTGGACCAATGATAGATTCAGAAATCATCCAATTTCTAAGTTTCTTCATTTTACAGTATGGTATCAATCAATCAATCCTAAAGTTTGTTTTGTCCCTATACAATGATGTTTAGGAGAAATCGCTCAAGCATGTTTTGCTGCAGAAGGCCTCATGCGCTGATATCATGAGGTTGACAATTTGTGTCACCAACATCAATATAGAGGAAATAGTGAGAATTAGCACATCCTGGAGATAAAAGGAGATTTGCTGTAGGAGAACAAAGTATGAAGTTCCTATTCTTTTGTAGTAGACAATTGTGTACGGCCCTTTCCCAGACCCCTCATATAGCAGGACCTTAGTGCACTGGGTTTCTCTTTTTCTATTTTTTTTATAACCGGGAAATTCTCGCGGGCCTGTTGCTCACAGTTCAAAACTCCATAGATAATGGGCCTGACCTCCTCTCTTCTTCACTTAAAATACCAAGACTTTTGTCTGCAACAGGGTTCAAAAACCCATGAAGTGCGCCTAAGACACGCCTGCGCGCTGAGCTCGTACCACTAGACCAAAGCTCTGGGGAAAAATATGAAGTTTCTATTATAAAAGCACTAATGATGTAACACCGTGATCATGCACAAGCTTGACTTGTTTTACCTACAATGTTTCCCATGTCACCAGTATTAAGCATATGAAGAACACATTATACAGAGAAAGTTCAAATGCACCCAAAGGTGTGCTCTAGTGGTCAATGAAGCGGGTGCAAACTTTGGAGACTAGGGTTCAAATCCTGAAAAGACCATAAGGCATTCGCTATCTGCCTAAGCATTGGTGAGTTGGTAGAGTTACCTGAAAACTGTGCTAGTAAGAGGCAACAAGCACCCTATGGAATAGTTGAATCCCCCGCAAACCAGCATAGACATCACCATTATTAACAAATAAAGTTGAACATGTGATGCTTCTTCTATCAAACTAAGTTTTCAAATATTGGCTTAATATTTTCTTTTAATGTGTAATATAATATACAAGTCATTTAACATCTCAAATTCAGTTTCCAGTCAACTACCCTTATATAAAATGGTCTTAGGGAGTAACTATTAAGTATTTTTTTTGAGACAAGGGTAACTATGTAACTATTAAGTATTTGGAATACAATTTTCAGGACATGTAGTGATGTTGGTATTTCTTAACCAAAAACTTGGTTACAACAAACTTTTGATGATCATGAAAAATTACTTAGCTTAGGATATATGAACAATCAAAATAAGAGTTCTCCTCAAAATGATTTAATTTCCCTTCTATGGAGAAAGTGGAGCCATCACATTTTATCTCCCCATTTATATGTCCAAAATCTATTCCTCTTCCTCATAATGAAACCAGTTTATCAAACATTTTTTTTTTCAAATATCAAATTAGCAAACAGAATTGATGGAATCCTTCAAATTACAAGGATGGGTTCCTATTGCCTCAGAGCAAAGATATGTTTCAGGGCTATCTCTTTTATATGAAAATTAGACTCCTTAAGAATAAGGGATATTCAACATAAGCATGTTCACAGATGCACAAGCAAGCTGAGAGGATAGGAGCAGAATACCAGTTGTATGCGCCCTTTCATCGGTATACGTAGGCGGCCCTTGTTTGTTTGTAAACTATTAGTGCTAGAGTTCCTGATTTGTGAGCCTTTACCATCACTACCTGGTCTTCCAAGATCTATTGATGAGTAATAAAGCAAGAAGTTATCACCATCTACGCTAGTTACAGCAAATGGAAGTTTCTGAGGATGTGGCGAGAAATTTCCACCAGTGATACTAAGGACGGCAAGAAAACCATCAATTCTCTGCATAAGCATATTATAATTTGTCAACAAGAGCAATATGTCAAACCATTTCCAAGATCATGGCACAAATACTTAAACAAAGAGATCAAGGAAAACTAATGCTCAAAACGAAGACCAAGGATAATTTGGATGACATCTGAAAGAACATAAACAGCATCTTCAAGATAATTGAGGCACTAAGACCAACCTGGCTGACTACACTGGATGTCAAACGACCAGATAATAGTGACTCCTCGAATGAACCGACTAAGGACCTTTTGACAGACAGTCCACTAAGACTTCTACCAAATCTTGCACATTGATTTGTAGGAACTGAATTTTGTGTCTTGGACCGCCTCATGACACTTAAACTTTCAGGTGTGGAACGTTCAAAGTTCATCTCAAAAACTTCAACATCTTGAAAAAGATCACTTCCTGTTTTGCGATCCTCTTCCTTCCGGGGAGATAAAATGCCTGAAAGCCTTCGATCAAGTGACTGTTCCACATCCTTCAAAGTTAAGTAGTTATCATCGTGATCCTCCCAGGAATGCCTAAACCTTTCTGCGCGTCCCAACCTTATATGAGATTTTGGTCCAAGAGGAGAAAGAGACGGAGGTGGCGAGAATGTATATTCTCCGGGCATGTCCATTATCCCATCTTTCAACTGTGTTTTTATCATATGTGCATAAAAGTTTAACCCAGGGGATGGAGGAGTAAAAGGGATCTCAGATTCAGGTCCCCCGTCATTGAACAAAGGACAATCTATGACAAAAGTGGAGACTTCTCCACAGTTTTCAGTTGGCAAACAATTCCCCCTAGGGAAAGATGGCATGAACCAATTTTCATTACTAAAGTTGTCTGTGTTGCCTATATGAGCCTTTTTATGTTCTTGTGAGGAAGCACCATATTTATCACGAGTGAAGTTGGAATTACTCCGAACAGTACTACCACCAATATCCAGAGATTCACCAGCAAATTTATCTGGAAGAACCATACCATTCAAAGGAGACAACAAGCGTTTCCTAACTAATGAACTTGTAGTCTCATTCATTCTGTCAATGTCCCGAACCACAGTAGATGAATCGACGCTATCCAATGGATTTGCTTCAAACAAACTAGCATGGCTTTTTATTGCACTTTTTGATTCGAACCCAACAATCCTTGATGCAGGACTCTGGGTAGTCCTTCCACCATTGTGAGTGAAGAAGCCATGATTTTCTGCAGAATCAATCCTCAATTTATGCATGCTTGTCATACCATCTTTATGTAGACTAAGAATATCAGCATCCCTGGAAACATCCCTAGACGAGACGAATGAAAAATCCGCTGATGTCCGATTGCTAAGGCAACTTATGTGCATTCCACTCATATCACAACTACTCATGCCAGCAAATCTAGCAGGAGTTTGAACAAATGTGCTCAATGATGTGGCCACTTCCTCAGCAATATTGCTGGAGGGCACTTGAGGCAACCCCATGTCTAACGTAAATTTGTTACCTCCACAATCTTCTTGTCAATATCTAATCAACTACACTACCTAAATTCTATCACCTGTCTTGCACCAATTCAATATCTAATTACTCCGCCCCATGAAATCCCCAGCAGTTCATTCTCCTACCACCGGAACAAACCTAACTGCAGTAGAACTAGATTGAATCTACAACATTATCTATCATCACACTAAACAACCACTACCTATCTATCAACGGAATTCCCAGAAATGTTTCATCAAACAATCCAGCATCATCTACATTCGACCCAACTAGTAAGGTAACACAATAAGCATTCGCTTCACACCACCATAATACATCAGACCGGCAACCCATTATTCGTTGCACAAGATTAAACCAAATCCTGAAAACAAAACGTCAAACATCAGTCCTATCTCCAAGTCATAGTAATCATCTAAATAACAAAAACATCGAAAATGTATCATCCATTTCATTTACATTGCTATGATCACTCAACAAGATTTATCTAAAAAAAACAACAAGGTAAAACCCCCAAAAAGATTTATCAATGAAAATGTTTCAATTAATCCGATCTAAAACAAACACTGATCTTATAATCTGTTTCATCAAGATCAATAATCAACTTACAAATCAAATGAGCTAAAAATTAGCGATCAATTACAACTCTCCCCCTTTTTTCCCCTTCTAAAAACCCATTAAAAACTTAAAAAACTATCTTCAACATTCAAATTCCCTGTTAACAAACACGATCATCTTTAGTTAATCAAGTCCTCCATTAATAACCAAAACCCAGAAACTTCCAAACACCATCAAAACAGAAAAACGAAAATCCTCATCAATCATCATCAGAAAAGTACACAGGATTCATAATATCAAAAAGAAAAAAAAAAGGAGAAGATTATCTACCCATGAAAACAAAAGGGATGAAGCAGTAATCATCTCTAAATTCAACTAAAGAAGAAAGGGGAGGTATATATATATTTTTAATTTATAGGGAAAAATGAGTAGATATAGATAAAGAGAAATGAAATTTTTCCCTTTTTTCTTTCTTGTGGTTCTTGGTTTTTGTATTTGTTATACTCTCCTTCTTCTTTACCTTTTAACTGCGCCTCCCTCTCCCTTTCTCTCCTTTCAAAGTCTCTCAAACCATTTAATTTCTGTGAAATACATTCATGCCCAAACTTTTCTTTTCTTCTTGCAAAAAAAAAAAAGAAAAATAAAGATGGTGTCTACACAAATACACCAAGTTGTTGGTACTTTCTGTATCATAGGTGGTACTTTGTGTTAGTAATTTGCAAATTTAAGAGATTACTTTGACTTTTTAGATTAATTATTTTTTTAGAAAATATTCCTCTCCTTTGAAAAAGAACAAAAAAATTAATGTGATTATAATTTTTTTAAAATTAGGATAAAAACTAAATTATTATTTTTTACAGAAGTACTGAAAATATCTGAATTATGCATGAATTATTAGTTTGATCCCTAAATTATTGACAGTCTTAAATATATTCCTTTAATTTGATTAACTAAATTTAAATACATCTCGTTCTTACCAAATTTAAGGGTGTTTTCAACACTTTTCTTGACTTTCTATTAATAGTTTTGTGCTCCTACAAAAATTTGAAACCACTTGTTATGTCGTGAGGCTAATCGTGGGTGTATCGGGACTATATCTAAGTTCAATTAGTTAAGTAAAAAAGTATTTTCAAGGCTGTTAATAATTCAAGAGTGAAATTAATAATTTACGTCAAGTTCACAATTTTTTTCTAAATACTTTCTCTCTTAATTATTTTTTTAAAAAAATAAAAATTCTGTGATTCTTTAATTGTTGCCTTACCATGACATTGCTACAAGAAGAAGAATAGGCAGAGAGAAAGCAACAAGTTAGGTACTCCCCTAATGCAATTTGAGGAAAGAAAAATCTGAAAAAATAAGATACAAGAAAACGAAGCAACAAAAAAAACTGAGTCTTTTTTTTTTTTTGGGTCCCTGTCCTGTGCCTGAATTATGTGAAGAAAATATGGAATATTTGAACTTATTAGAATTTATAATATAAATTAAGGAGGTGATTAGCAGTGAAGTTAAATTTTTTATTAAAGGTATTTAAAATTTTAATATATATCTTTAAAATATTATTTTAGATTTATATGTAACATTATTATAATTTTCATCGACAGACATTTGAGTGAATCAATATATTATATGAAATAGATAAAGAATGAGGGTGTAATTTGAAATTTGAAAGATATTGGGGTTACCACTTGCCACTGACATTAGTACTATAGCAAAAGTATGATGTGTTTACGAAAAAATTTACTATGGGGAGAGGTGTGTGAGGATATTTTTATTGCAATTATATTCTGATTTATGGGACCTATTTTATTTTTTATTTCTTTGCCTTTCTTTTGTTTCTCTTTCATGGTTTGTTTTTTCTTGTCATTTTTTTTTTTTGAAAAAAAATTTAATTGAAAACCAATTCAATTAGTCCTTCAATTTTATAATATAAATAAAAATATTTTTTATGGTTAAATAATTACCTAAGATATTAATAGTCAAATTTTAATACGAATATAATTCGTATTCGTATCATAGGATTAAATTATTTTTCATTTATCGTATTTTAAAATTTTCATCTTCCTAATTCATTTCTTTTTAACTTCTACTTTTAGGATCCATTTAAACATAAAATTATTTACTTTTTAAAAATAATCTATTTTTAACTCAATTTTCACTTTTGAAATTGTATTAAAGTACATTCAAACATGAACATCATTTCGAATATTTTTTACAAAATCATTTTGAATATATATAAATTCAATTATATTTGTACTCAACGATTAGAATTTTCTGACAAAAATATTTCAACAAATTTTCTTTTTGCCAATCCTAATATGAGAGAGATAATTTTGATAAAATTTTCAATTTAGAAGATAAAAAAGAATAAAAATGTTCAAAATTGAAGAAGAATGATGTCCGAATTTTTATTTTTATTTTTGGATATGATTCACTTTATTTATATTATTTAGTATAATTTTATTGGATCATGTCAGTTTTAAATCATATTTTCTCTTTCTTCGTAATGTTTAGAGATTTAAAGTCAAAGAATGGATTCACTATATCCAAGTATCAAGAAATTAGTAAAGCCTCACAAAACTTTTGTTTGTTGTGCCTCTACCATACTAAAAATTTTCTACGATTTCTATGGAGATTAGTTTTTTTAGTAACCCCAAAAATGTATTCTAAATAATTAGAATTAATATATTCAAAAATTCACTTTTTAAAACTTATATCCTCAGTAATTTACGGCGTCCAAATTCTAAAAGTCTAGCCAACTACTCACAGCCTGCTAAGATGGTTGTTATTGTATGCTCCGTTTTCTAGTTTAAATATAATTCATTCGTTATCTTTATATGTCATCCTTATTATAAAATATAGATATTTTTTAATATTTGATATTTTATAAAATTAATATATAAATAACGTTATTTTTAAATTAATATATAAATTAATTCATGTTCATTTATTGAAAACTTAACTTCAAAACAACACTAAATAAGAGTAGTTTCTTAAGGAGCGTAACACCTAAAATTGTGAAAATTAAATAGAAACGGAGGGAGTACTATTTATTTCAATTATTACTTAAATTTTAAATATTATTAAAATCATTATTATATAACATTGAAAAGTTTCATTTTATGTAACGAACAATTTGATGCGATCGCCTTATTCCCTTAGTTTTTTCCTTCTTATTTTATCTCTACTTATCATCTCCTCAATAACTTTTCTTATAAATCTATTCTTTAAATCTTGCTATGCAACATTATGTGACAATAAAAAATAATATTATATATCTAAAAAATATATTCATAAAAATAACATAACATATTACAATATGATATATTATGTTATTGAAGAGGCAAAAGAATGAGTATTGAAGTTGAAGAGGCGTTGCCTAAAAAGCAATAAAATTGAATTATATATTTCTTGTTTTGCTCGTTGGCCTTTAAGTATAAAGATAATAAAGGGAGGGTCACAAGTCACAAGTATATATAGAATACGTGTTTGTTTTTTTTGTATAGAAACTCCAATTCTAATTGCATCTTGTCTCTTATTCGTCGGCATTGGTGGCTTGATAGTGATATTGCTCTTATCCCCTCAATTAAACACTTTTTTTTTTTTGTATATCTATATACCCATGGTTTTCATAACACTATATAGTATTTATCATATCATATCCATCAAAGGATTGAATAGAATTGAACCACTCAATTTTTTGCTAAAATTCCATTGTCTCAACTCTAAATTTTTAAGTATTTTATTTGATTTGTCATGGGTATTACACTGGAAATTGAGAATTTATTGAGTCAAATAGGTATATTGCCATGAGTGAGGAGGTAGCATATAGATTTTCTAACATTTTTTTTAATAAAAAAGTAAGACAAACAAATCAATTACGTTTTTTTTTATATATAGAATTTCATTTAGATAAACTAAAAAGTCAAATAGAATTGTTTTCTTTTAGGATTTCGCCCTTCTTTTTATTAATTAAAGAGTATATATAAGTGATTTTGGTCCCACAATTATTAGTACTAATTTTTAATTTTGGTTCTTATAATAATTAATTTAAATATGCATTTTCAAATCCTTTTATATGGAAAATATATGTATAAAGTTGAAACATAAAATTTTAAATTTTTATAATTGTGGATATACATTTTACTTGATTTTTTTTTTTTGAAATTTACTAGATGGATGTCCAAAAACTGGTTTGAGCCATTTTTTGTGAACTTGCATATATTTGAAGATCAAATTTTATTGTGAAATCAATATTTGAAAATAAATTTTTAAAATCAACTCTCAAAATAAATAAAACTCATCAATAATTAAGAAACTAAAAGATTGATTTTGCCCATTTTATTTATTTATGAAGAAAAATGAGTCCAGCAGAATGAGGGAAGTTTTATTTTCTTCAAGAAAATAGGGGAAAAAAAAGTGGAAGAATACAAAATGAAAGAAAAACATAATCGTATTATATCGGGACAGCAAATTCTTCAAAAAACCACCAACTGTCTGCTCACATTTATTTTTTTAAGTGTGCCGCATTTACAAGTCTGTATTATTAGGCAGTTTATTAAATGAAGTAGAATTGTTTCATGCTGACTAAATCAATGTGGGAAAAATGACAAAATTTATTTTCTTTCTCCCCTTGTTTAGCCGGAAAATAAAAATATCATATATTACGTATAACTATAAATATAAAACAAATTATTGAGGTATAAAAAATTATAAAAATAAATAAAATAATTTAAATTTAGTAAAAATTAAACGAATATAGTAAAAAAAAATTGATTTACATTTTAATCTATTTCAATCCAAATAGAATAATAATGGACTCTTTTTAACTCGATCTATCTTTGACCTGACGAAATTCCGTCGATTTACTACCTCTGGCAAAATTATTAGCAATTACTTTTTCTAGAGATTATCAAAGTCGGTCAAAAAAAAGATAATTATTGTAACCAATTTGAATTAGTGTCCTTGTTTAGAAAGCAAAGGGGGCAAAGTGCATGTGCAAAGAAAGGGGATTTAAAGAGAATTATTAAATTAAGGGTGTACCTGAATACAAATCTGTGGAAGATTTGGAAAGTGAGTTAACTATTTAAAATACCAAACAAATACTCCCTTCGTCCCATTTTATATGACATTCCTTTCTATAAATAGCTAGATCATAATACTTGTCATTTTATAAAATTTATGTATGAATTACCATATTTTGCTTATTATACCCTTGATATAATAGTTAATTAATCTTGTCATTTATTAATAAAGTTGACTTAAAAAAACATTAAATAAGGATAAAAGGGTAAAGTTACATCATTTCTTAATGCAAGTGCAAGGTAAAAATGTGACATATAAAATAGGACGGAGAGAGTAGTGAGTTAGAAATTTTGGGGTCGAGTCCTTCTGAATACGACATCATTTTTGTTAGAAAGTATTTTATTCCTAATATAATTTTTTTTTATATAAATTTATATTTAATCAAATTTTAATATAAATATAACACATATTAAAAATTATAAAAGATAGGTGCAATGCACCATTGTAAAATGAACATAGGAGGGTGTAACAAAACTAACGTGTAATGTTGTAGATG